ATTTTGTTGAAGATATTTACTATCCCTTTAAGTTGGGAATCTTCACTCTCATATATACCTATTATCCTTAGGTTTGGTCTTCTCATTGTGTCTTGGATTTCCTTAATGTTTTGGGTTAAGAACTTTTTCATTTTGCATTTTCTTTGACAGTTGTGTTAATGTTTTCCATGGTATCTTCTGCACATGAAATTCTCTCTTCTATCTCATGTATTCTGTTGGTGATGCTTGCATCTATGACTCCTGATTTCTTTCCTAGGTTTTCTATCTCCATGATAGTCTCCCTTTGAGGTTTCTCTATTGTTTCTACTTCAGGTTTTATGTCTTTAATCATTTTGTTCAATTCCTTCAGCTGTTTGGTTGTGTTTTCTTGCAATTCTTTAAGGGATTTTTGTGTTTCCTCTTTAAGGGCTTCTACTTGTTTACCTGTGTTCTCAAGTATTTATTTAAAGAAGTTGTTTATGTCCTTCATAAAGTTCTCTATCATTATCATGAGAAGTGATTTTAAGTCTGAATCCTGCTTTTCTGTTGTGATGGGGTGTACATAACTTGCTATGGTGGGACAACTGGGTTCTGATGATGTCAGGTAAGATTGATTTCTGTTGCTTATGTTCTTCTGCTTGCCTTTTGCCATCTGGTTATCTCTAGTGCTACCTGCACTCACTGTCTCTGACTGGAGCCTGTCATTCTAGTTATCTTGCTTGTGTCAGAACTCCTCAGAGTCCAGTTGTCTCTATGGTACTGTGATCCTGTGCTCCTGGGTGGAAGAGCTCCTGTGACTCAGGCTGCCTTTGGGATCCTAAAATCCTGCTGCTCTTAGTGCAGTGATTCCTCAGCTGTACCAAGTGCAGTGATTCCTCAGCTGCTCCAAGTGCTGTGGTTATACCACTGCTCCAAGATGGTTCAGGATATGGTGACTTTACAGGAGCAGACCAGCCAGGTTTCTGCCCCAGCCAAAAGGACCAGGGGAGGTATGGCAGGGGATGATATTCCGGAGGGGCAGGGTTTGGGTGGGTTGCAGCTTTGGGGCTTAGGGCTCTGAGGGAGGGTTCTTACCTGCTGCTCTAGGAAGGTTCAGGATATGGTGTCTTCAGGGGAACAGACCAGCAATGTGTCTGTGCCAGCCAAAAGGACCAAGAGAGGGGTGGAAGGAGAGTGGTATTCTGGATGGGTGGGGTTTGGGTGGGTTGTAGCTCTGGAGCTTAGGGTTGTGGGAAAGGGTTCTTATCTGTCACTCTAGTAAGATTCAGGGTAATATGTCTTCAAGGGACCAGACCTGCCAGGTGTCTGCCCGAGCCAAAAGCAAACTGATCCATTTTTATCTCCTGCACAAAGCTCAAGTCCAAGTAGATCAATGACCTTCACATAAAACCGGATGTACTGAATCTAATAGATTAGAAAGTGGTCTTGAACACTTCAGCACAGAGAAAAATTTCTTGAACAAAACAACAGTGGCTCAGGATCTAACATCAACTATAGAAAAATGGGATCTCATAAAATTGAAAAGTTTCTGTAAGGCAAAGGACACTGTCAGCAGGACAAAATGGCAACCGACAGATTGGGAACAGATCTTTACCAACCCTGAATCTGAAAGAGGGCTAATATTCAATATATACAAAGAACTCAAGAAGTTAGATTTCAGAGAACGACACAATCCTATTAAAAATTGGGTACTGAGCTAAATACAGAATTCTCAACTGAGGAAACTTGATTGCCCAAGAAGCACATAAAGAAATGTTCAACATCCATAGTCATCAGGAAAATGCAAATCAAAACAACCTTGAGATTCTACCTCACATCACTCAGAATGGCTGAGAACAAAAAGTCAGGTGATAGCAGATGCTGGCTAGGATGTAGAGAAAGAGAAACATTCCTTGATTGTTGGTGGGATTGCAAGCTTGTGCAACCACTCTGAAAATCAGTCTGGCAGTTTCTCAGAAAATTGGACATAGCATTACCTGAGGACACAGCTATACCACTCCTGGGCATATAGGCTCCAACATACAATAAGGAAATATTCTCCACTGTTTTCATAGCAGCCTTATTTATAATAGCCAGAAGCTGGAAAGAACCCAGATTTCTGAATTTTACTCATCTATTAAAGACAATGACTTCATGAAATTTGAAAGCAAATGGATGGACCTAGAAAATATACTCCTGAGAGAGGTAACCCAGTCACAAAAGAATACACATGGTATGTACTCACTGATAAGTGAATATTAGGAAAAAGCTTGAAATTCCCAAGATACAATTCACAGACAATATGAAGCTCAAGAAGAAGGAAGACCACAGTGTGGATTCTTCAGCCCTACTTAGAAGAAGGAACAAAATAATCAAGGAATGTAGAGGGAAGGATGTAATTTGGAGGGAGAGAGGAGTGGTAGGGAAAAGGTGGCAGGATCAGGTGTGGCGGGAGAAGAGGGAGAAGAACAGAGGTTCAGGAAATTGAAAAGAGGTATGTAGCAGTGGAAAAAGGGGAGCTGGGGATAGCCACTATAAAGTCCCAGATGCTAGGAATTCAGGAGGTTCCCAAGACCCAATGATAATGACATTAGCTGAAATACCCAACTATTGGGAGACAGAACCTGTAGAGACTATATCCAGAAGTTAGACATAGACCCTGGTTGAAGGCTGGTGTTGGACACCATTTCGGCCTTGGTTTCAGCCTTGTGGACAAACCCACGCCTGAATTGAGTTTGAGACTTGTCTTAGTCCTTTTTGAACTGGAGTTACTCAACAGGTCCTGTTTAACCCTGCCTCTGCTCAGATGTTGCTGATGTAGAGCTTTTCAATTAGCCCTATCAGTCATCCCATACCCTCTGTCACCATTCCCTGCCCCCTAAGTCATCTCACCCCAACAAAACTCCCCTCTATGCTTCAACTTTATATAAACAAGAGGCTGTTACGTTAAAGTTGAGTTCTTGTCTTGACAAGACTCTGGTCAGTTGTGTTTCTTTGGGCTGTCCAGATTCACCATCCAACTCAACCCCAGAGAGAGAGATCTGGCTGGACCTGGACCTCTCTCCTCTTGCCTGGACCTTCCCACAAGGAGCCAACATTCTGGGGCCACAAATCCGTCTCATAATATGAACCAAGAATTGGTCCTGTCTAAAGCAAATGCAGGGCAAAGAGTGAAGCAGAGACTGAAGGAAATGTTATCCAGAGGGATCTTACCTAGGGATTGATCCCATCTGCAGGCACCAAAAACAGACACTATTGCTGATGTCAAGAAGTGCTTGTTGACAGGAGCCTAGCATACCTGTCCCGTTAGAGGCTCTGCCAGAACCTGACAAGTACAGATGTGGATGCTAGCAGGCATCCATAGGATTGAGCAAAGTGACCCCAAAGGAGGACTCAGGGGAAAGACTGATGTTGCTTTAGGGGATTGCATTATCTGACATCAATAGGAGAGGTCGTTAGTCCTGTGGAGGCTCAATGCCCCTTTGGAGTGAAATGCTAGGGCTTTAAGGTGGGTGTGGGTGGGACAGTGAGGGAGCACCCTCATAGGAGCAGGGTGTGGGAGGATGGGATGGGGGTTCCTGAGAGAAAACCTAGAAGAGGGATAACATTTGAAGTGTAAATAAATAAAAAAAAAATAATTAAAAAGAGTTATCTGGTATAATCTTGATAGATCTGCCTTTATATGTTACTTGGCATTTTTCACTTACTGGTTTTAATACTCTTTCTTTGTACTGTGAACTTTGTGTTTTGATAATTATGTGATGGAGGACTTTCTTTTTTGATCCAAAATATATTTGGTGTTCTGTAGGATTCCTGTAAGTTTATGATCATCTTTTTCTTACACTACGGACGTTGTCACTATAATTTGCTGAAGATGTTTTCTGGCCCTTTGAGCTGGTAATCTTCACCCTCTTCTATTCCTATTACTTTTAAGTTTTAGTCTTTTCATTGTATCCTGAATTTCCTGGATGTTTTGTGTTAGAAGTTTTGCACTTTGTATTTTCATTGACTGATATGTCAATATCTTCTATGTTATCTTTTATTCTTGAGAACATTTCTTCTATTTCTTATACTCTGTGATGCTTGCATCTGTAGATCCTAGTCTCTTTCCTAGATTTTCTATCTCCAGAGTTACCTCCATTTGTCATTCTTCATTGTTTCTATTTACATTTTTAGTTCTTGGACCATTTTATTCAATTCCTTCACATGCTTGAAAGTATTTTCCTGTATTTTTTTAAAGGATTTATTTGTTTCGACATTAAGGGTTTCTACCTGTTTCCCTGTATTACTTTCTGGAAATTATATACGTATCCTCTTTATGGGCCTCTATCATAGAGATGGGATCTTAGATCAGAATCTTGCTTTTTTGGTGTGTTAGAGTTTGCAGGGCTTGCTGTTGTGGGAGAAGCTGGTTCTGATGGTGCCAAGTTACATTGGTTTCTGTAGCTCATGTTCTTGAGCTTGCTCTTGTCATCTGGTTATCTCTGATGTTAACTGTCCTGGGTGTCTCTGACTGGAGCCAGCCTCCTTGGAGGCAGATAGATCTGTGTGACCTGCATTATAACAGGTCTTCTGAGAAACAAAAATTGTTGCCTCTGGTTACGGGGAGCCTCCTGTGTCACCGGTTATAGTAAGCCTCCTGTGTCGCTAGGTAGGGTAACTTGTCTGTGTCCCTGTTCAGGGCAGAATTCTAGTGTTCCTGGTTAGAGCAAACATCTTATGTCACTGGTTAAAGCAGATCTCTTAGGACAGAAGCAGGCTGTGGGGTATGGGAAGGGACTGGGCAAGCTTAACTGCCATGGATGGACATACAAACTGGAAGGAAGAGGGAGCTGAGACAAGGGGGTAGCTCCCACATCAGCTGGACTCTGTGGGTGTTCTGGATGGTGTGGGAATTGTAGAGGAAGTCACAGCCATCTTCTTGGTTAAGGCAGACCTCCTGAGAGACAGGCAGTCTGTAGAGTGTGGAAGGAGAGCAGTTGTGCCATTCTGCTCTGGGTAGAGGTGCAGCAATATTTTGGTTTTAATGACATTGGCAAGTATGTATTAAATTTCTATATTTTTCTAGGAATGCAATTTGTTTTATACTGAATAATTTAATAATTAAAATAAATGATGGGATTCTTTGATCACTTTTCAGTGTATATGTACACACACACACATATTCTTCTTACACGGTATGAAATTACAAATAAGATTGCTTTACCAAAGCAAATTAGTGAGTGTTTAGAAGGTAGTTTATAAACTAGAATGATGCTGGAATTTTATCCAAAAACTGACTTATTAATGAGCTCTACTTTTTTTTCATTTTCTTTTCCTTCTTTACAAAGAGTTTGTAAGCAGTCAAGCAGCACTTTATAGAAATAACTGCAGTGGTCACCACACAGGCTAGTAAGAATCCAATCACATCCAGAGAGTGGTACTGGTACCAGGTGAGGTTGTATGCAAGTGGTCTCAGGTGCCTGGCTCCTTTGTGGCGCATGACAAACTCAATCCAGAAGGTAACCCTGTCCAGGGGCTTCATAGGCTGCTCATGGTGAATGGTTGACAACCACATAGCATTCTCTTTATAGCTGCAAGAGATAAAATGGTAATGCCAGAAAATCATAGAATGAATGAAAATATACATTTCTTGAGGTCAGGGATGGTAAGTCTACCAGATGTCTTTTATTGTTGAGAATAGTTTTCACTATCCTGGGTTTTTTGTTTTTTCAAGTGAATTTGAGAATTGCTCTTTCTATCTCTGTGAAGAATTGAGTTGAAATTTTAATGGGGATTGCATTAAATCTGTAGATTGCCTTCATCATGATGGACATTTTTACTATATTAATCCTGCCAATCCATGAGCATGGGAGATATTTCAATCTTCTGAGATCAGTTTATCTTTGGAGTAGAGGAAGGCTACTGATTTGTTTGAGTTAATTTTATATCCAACCACTTTGCTGAAGTTGTTTATCAGGTTTAGGTGTTCTCTGGTAGAAGTTTTGGGGTCACTTAAGTATACTATCATATCATCTGCAAATAGTGATATTTTGACTTCTTGTTATCCTATTTTTTGCCTTTGACTTCCTTTTGTTGTCTAATTGCTCTGGCTAGGATATGTAGTACTATATTGAATAGGTAGTAAGAGTATGGGCAGCCTTGTCTAGTTCCTGATTTTAGTGGGAGTGCTTCAACTTTCTCTCCATTTAGTTTAATGTTGGCTACTGGTTTGCTGTATGTTGCTTTTGCTATGTTTAGGTATGGACCTTGAACTCCTCATCTTTCTAAGACTCTTACCATGAAGGGGTGTTGAATTTTGTCAAATGCTTTCTTAGCATCTAGTGACATGATCATGTGGGTTTTTTTATGAGTTTGTTTATATAGTGGATTACATTGATGGATTTCCAAATATTGAATGATTCCTGCATTCCTGGGAAAAGGCTACTTGATCAGGATGAATGATTGTTTTGATCTGTTCTTGGATTGGGTTTGCAAGAATTTTATTGAGTATTTTTGCATCAATGTTCATAAGGGAGACTGGTCTGAAGTTCTCTTTCTTTTTTGGGTCTTTGTGTGGTTTAGGTATGAGCATAATTGTGGCTTTATAGAATGAAGTGAGTAGTGTTCCTTCTGATTATATTTTGTGGAATAGTTTGAAGAGAATTGGTATTAGGTCTTCCTTGAAGGTCTAATAGAATTATGCACTAAATCCATCTGGATGCTGGCTTTTTTGGACGGGTAGGGCGAGACTTTTAATGACTCCTGCTATTTCTTTAGGGGTTATGGAACTGTTTAGATGGTTTAATCTGCTCCTGATTTAACATTGGTATCTGGTATCTGTCTAGAAAATTGTCCATTTCATCTACATTTTACAGTTTTGTTGAGTATAGGCTTTTGTAGTAGGATCTGATGATTTTTTGAATTTCCTCAGTTCCTGTTATTCTGTCTCCCTTTTCAGTTTTGATTTTATTAATTTTGATACTGTCTCTGTGCCCTCTGGTTAGTCTGGCTAAGGGTTTATTTATCTTGTTGATTTTCTCTAAGAACCAGCTCCTGGTTTTGTTGATTCTTTGTATAGTTCATTTTGTTTCTACTTGGTTGATTTCAGACCTGAGTTTGGTTATTTCCCACTATCTACTCCTTTTGGGTGCATTTGGTTCTTTTTGTTCTAGAGCTTTCAAGTGTGCTGTCAAGCTGCCAGTGTGTGCTCTCTCCAGTTTCTTTTTGTAGGCACTTAGAGATATGTTTTCCTCTTAGCACTGCTTTCATTGTGTCTGACAAGTTTTGGTATGATGTGTCCTCATTTACATTAAATTATAAAAAGTCTTTAACCAAGTCATCATTGAGTAGAGCATTTTTCAGTTCCCACATGTATGTGGGCTTTCCATTAATTTTATCATTATTGAAGACCAGCCTTAGCCAGTGGTGATCTGATAGGATACATGGGATTATTTCAGTCTTCTTGTATCTGTTGAGGCCTGTTTTGTGACCAATTATATGGAGAGTTTTAGATAAGGTACCATGAGGTGTGAGAAAAAGGTATATTATTGTGGTTTTGGATGAAATGCTCTATAAATATCTGCTAAATCCATTTGGTTTGTAACTTCTCTTAGTTTTACTGGGTTTCTGTTTAGTTTCTGTTTCCATCATCTGTCCATTGATGAGAGTGGGGTGTTGAAGTCTCCCGCTATTATTGTGTGAGGTGCAATGTGTGCTTTGAGCTATAGTAAAGTTTCTTTTATGAATGTGAGTGACCTTGCATTTGGTGCATAGATGTTCAGAATTGGGATTTCATCTTGTTTGATTCTTCCCTTGATGAATATGAAGTGTCTATTCTTATCTTTCTTGATAACTTCTTGTTGAATGTCGATTCTATTTGATATTAGAATGGCTACTGCAGCTTGTTTCTTGGGATCATTTGCTTGGAAAATTGTTTTCTAGACTTTTATTCTGACATAGTGTCTATCTTTGCCACTGAGATGCATTTCCTGTATGCAGAAAAACGTTAGGTCCTGTTTATGTATCCAGTCCATTAGTCTATGTCTTTTTAATGGGGCATTGAGTCTATTGATGTAAAGAAACTTTAAGGAGAAGAGATTGTTGCTTCCTGTTATTTTTGTTATTAGAGTTGGAGTTATGTTTGCGTGGCTATCTTCTTTTGGGTTTGTTGGAAGATTAATTTCTTGCTTTTTCTAGGTTGTAGTTTCCCTCCTTGTGTTGGAGTTTTCTATCTATTATCCTTTGTAGGGCTGGATTAATGGAAATATATTGTGTAAATTTGGTTTTGACGTGGAATATCTTGTTTTATCTATCTATAGGGATTGAGAGTTTTGCTGGGTATAGTAGTCTGGGTTGGCATTTGTGTTCTCTTAGGGTCTGTATGACATTCATCCAGGATCTTCTGGCTTTTGTAATCTCCAGTAAAAAGTCTGAGGTTATTCTGTCATGTCTGCCTTTATATGTTACTTGAACTTTTTCCTTTACTGCTTTTAGTATTTTTTCTTTGTTGTGTGCATTTGATGTTTGGATTATTATGTGACGGGGTAAATTTCTTTTCAGACCTAGTATATTTGGAGTTTTTTAGGCTTCTTGTATGTTTATGTGGATCTCTTTCTTTAGGTTAGGAAAGTTTCCTTTTATAATTTTGTTGAAGATATTTACTGGCCCTTTAAGATAGGATTCTTCACTCTCATCTATACCTATTATCCTTAGGTTTGGTCTTCTCATTGTGTCCTATATTTCCTTAATGTTTTGGGTTAAGAACATTTTGCATTTTGCATTTTCTTTGACAGTTGTGTCAATGTTTTTTATGGTATCTTCTGCACATGAGATTCTATCTTCTATCTCGTGTATTCTGTTGGTGATGCTTGCATGTATGCCTCCTGATTCTTTTCCTAGGTTTTCTATCTCCATGGTAGTCTCCCTTTGAGATTTCTCTATTGTTTCTACTTCAGTTTTTATGTCCTCAATCATTTTTTTCAATTCCTTCAGTTGTTTGGTTGTGCTTTCTTGCAATTCTTTAAGGGATTTTTGTGTTTCCTTTTTATGGGCTTCTATTTGTTTACATGTGTTCTCTTGTATTTCTTTGAGGAAGTTATTCATGTCCTTCTTTAAGTCTTCTATTATCATCATGAGAAGTGATTTTAAATCTGAATCTTTTTTTCTGGTGTCATCGGGTATTCAGGATTTGCTATAGTAGGAGAACTAGCTTCTAATGGTGCTGAGTAACCTTGGTTTCTGTTGCTTATGTTCTTGTGCTTGCCTTTCGCAATCTGGTTATTTCTAGTGCTACCTTCACTCACTATCTCTGACTGGAGCCAATCTGTCATGTTATCTTACCTGTGTCAGAACTCCTCAGAGTCCAGTTGTCTCTGTGATCCTGTGATCCTGAGACCCTGGTTGTGAAAGCGCCTGGGAGTCAGACCACTTTTGAGCTCATGAAATCCTGGTGTTCCTGGGAGTCCAGCCTCCTCTGGGTTTTGGGGGGTTGGGTGCAGAGCTGAAGCCTTAGAGCTGCTCCAGGCACATGCACAGACAGGAAGGGTTCTTTGCCACTGGCCTTAAGCTTGTATAAAGGTTAATACTTATTAATATAATTAATTGAATGTGTAACAATTCTGTATTTCAATATTTAGATTATTTGAATTTTCATTGCATCACATATGTACTTACTATAAAGTAAGATCAATATTTTTGTTATTATTTTCAATTATGTGTTTGTGTGTATGTGTATGTGTGTGACAGTGTGTGTGCATGTGAGAATGTGTGAGTGCCTGCATGTGCACACCTGTGTCCACCATCATCATTCTTTCATTCTTAAAACCATTCCAGTTTGGAGGTTCTTCCGTGGAAAAGATTTTTTCTCACCCACTAATAGCATTCCTTAGGTGCCTTTTATAATTTTGTGTACAGTTGAGGCCAGGGGGAGATGGAGCTCTTTCCATATTAGCATGGTCTATCGTGAAAGGTAGTCTTCAGGTAAGGTACTTTCAAGTAAGTTCCAGCTCAGAGTTCTCTAGGTTCTGTTTCTCAAATATATGTACACTGAATCATGTCCTAATTTGTCTCTGTTCTTATAATAATTATCACTCTGAGACTAATACTTGTTCATTTGTCCTTCAGTAAGAAGGCCAATGACCGAATATCTAACCAAATAAATATATAAATAAATCAATGAATAAACAATGGATACATATTTTAAAAGGTTATACTCACGAAGGATTGTGTATGACTTCCTCCAGCGCATTGAGCAAATCTGAGCTTGACAATGTTCTGATATTCAATCCAACAGCTGCTCCTTTGGCAACCATCTGGGCAATGTTATCACATTGTTCTCCAAACAAAGGAATGCCAATCATAGGGACTCCATGATGGATGGCCTCATAGACACCATTGGCTCCACCATGAGTTACAAAGGCTTTGGTTTTTGGGTGACCTGGAATAAGAGGAATTCATGTTAACATTAATTAGCAGTCTTAGGCATGAAATGAGAAAAGTAGTATTTACTATGAAAAACTGAAAGGAGATTTTTCTACATAAAGATTCATATACTCATAAACTCACTGAAATGTTTTCCTGCCTGAGAGCAAGAGGACACTACATTTACATACAACTATTTTGCAGATTTGCATGTGACTTGAGATTTGAACTATAAATTGCATGTTTCCAGTTGAACATATGAAGAAAACGAATGTGAAAAAGACCAAATGCATGTCAGAAGTTGTTTTCTTAAATAATATAATTTATGAACTCCATGTAATATAAAGGCTTTTGGGTAAACTACGATAGGTACAGTAATCAAAGAAAGTCAGTTGTGATTCAGAATTCGTTTTCCAGACTTACCAAGAAGGTCATTCTGGGGAAGCCACTTGTAGACTCTGGTATTGGACCCTAAGGAAGCTGGTTTTTTGCCGTCAAATCGCCAAAGAACCTATTAAATGTCAGATAATCTTAATTGGTGGTGCCAAATTTAACATTATACAGCCTGAACAGGTTATAGCTAAAAACATATAAATGTAGATACATATGCATATATTTATATAGTGACAATTAATTAAAAAATTATGCCATGGATTTGAAAGAAAGCAAAGGCATAGATAAGAGAGTGTTTGAAGGGAGGAATGAAAATGTAGAATGATGTAATAATAATTTCCCAGCTGGGAATAATTTTTTAAAGTATAGCTTTCTTGTTTTAGAGAAATCATAGCTAAATGCATCCCACGGGATAGATTAGGAATTCAGAAGAGCTGAGCAATAAAACCTCTTAAAAGACTGAGAGAAGATGGTACAGCCGTTTCTGTGTTTATTTTTACACTCAGACAGATTGAACATAATCCTCATTTCCCAACCAGATGAATTTAGACAAAGGAGATAGTTAATAATACTTCAAAATATTTAATGCCTTGGTGGCATAATTCAACTACAGAGAAGAGTGGCAAATAACTAATAATTTATGTTTTATATAACTTATTTGATAGATCTAATACTCCAGCATTAATATAATGGCATTTTTACTTAGCGTTTACTTTTATTCATTTGTTCTATGTTATTTTTAGTGAATTTCATTTTTTTGTCTTTAATTATGATGTGTACATGCCTTGTTTCCAACTGTAGCATATAAGGGTGAGTCTGTTATTATTACCCATTCCTTGCTATTGTTATTCAGATAATATTTAAACTGTTCTTTATGGAAATACATGTTTCTGTCACACATGTCTTGTCCTTGTGATTGTATACAGCTTGAACTCATGTGATCTTTACTTTTATGACATTTCTGAATCTTGGACTAGGCATATTCTGATGCTGTGAGTAAAGATGGCTAATTCAAGCAATTTGTGTCTGCTTCATTTACTACTCGTATTGATTACAATGAGAGGCCTCTGTTTCATGTTTTATGATGCACAGAGAAGACTATAAAGGCAGCACCCATGTCTACTTTTCCTTTTTATATTTTTCTATAAATATTGGCAGAAGAACCCAGTTGTTTTTGTTTATTTGTTTGTTTTGTTTTTGTGTTTGTTTTTATTTTATTTTTAAACATCCCTCTCAACTGCACACTAAACAGACCTACTTCAAAATTAGGATGCAGAATCATGCTATATTTCAAACATTTTCAGTACCAGTTTGATATTTTTCTGCTAGAAAAAAAATAATAAAATTTTCCTCCCCCTAAAAAATTTTGTATATGCTGTAACTTTAAATAATTGACAAATGGAACAAGTGACTCTGAAGAATTTGCTGTCTACTCACCCTTGACAGTGATGGGATCATAATGGCAGCATTTCGAAATGTACCCACAGAGAACACAAAGTTGATATCCAAGGTACTTACAACCAAAAACACCTTCTGTAGTATTGTAATATCTGATGTGTGTATCTTTTTTTAAGTTGTCTAAGGTAAGTTAGAGCTTACCTAAATCTTTTGGTTTCACACAGTCATTCCTAGAATCAGACCTTCCAAGAACTTTCACAGACTCAGTATACATTTCCCTCCCATGGACACTTTATCTCACCTTCTGTGGAATCTGGGCAAGGGCCCATGCAACTTCATTGGCCTTATCTTCGGTCATGTTCCTGACCATTGACCCCAGAGAAAACACAACCACTCCATGCTCTCCAGAGCTCTGGACAAAGTCTTCTATTTCCTATGGAGAAAGAACTTTTTGCATCACAAAATAAAAATTGTAGAAAAATAATTTATGAAAGTTTTATGAAAAAAAACTCGAATAAAAAGTGAAATATCCATAGGAATTTTTAGAATCACAGTTTTAACACACAGAGAAGACAAAATTGCCAATATCAAACACTTTCAACATCACAGGCAGTAGTGTGTAAAGTGCACTCACACATGTTCAACAAACATTCTTTGTAGGTATTTTGCCTGCATTCATGTCTGTGTGTCATGTATATGCAGTACACATAGAGAGCAGAAGAAGATGTTAGATCTCTTAGAACTGGAGTTACAGATGATTGCTGGGATCGAACCCAGGTCCTCTGGAAGAGCAGCTAGTACACTTAACACTGAGCCATCTCTCTTCCCTCAACAAACCTTCTCAATAATTTCCCCTGGCTAAGTGAAAGCTTAGAAGTGCATGTGTAGTATGTGAATTATTTGTAAAATTGTAGCTTCATTACATTTTCATTTTATAGAAGGTATAATTATTTTCATTACCAATTTAATTTTCTCCCATTTTGCTTGATTTAGTGCTATTAGGTAGTGTTAATGAAATATCTATTTTATAGCATGTACATATGTAGTAGTTAATACAAATTTCCTACTACAACTAATTAAGTGGGGTTTTTTTGTAAAATAATCATAACTGTATAGTAAGTATATACCATGTAATAATTTTATGTTATTGTGTATAAACAGGGTATTTTCACATATGACCTCTACAAATTACATGTTTATGTAGAAATTATGATTATGTTGTTTCTCGATATCAAACAATTACTTTTAGTATATATGAATCATAGCTTTTTAATGGTTAACAGTTTCTGAAGTCCTAAGTTTATCTTTTGTGTGTATGTGTTTATATTTGTCTGTGTAATGTGTGTATTCATGCACATGTGTCTGTGTGTGTATTTGTATATTTGTGTATTGGGGGTGCTGCTGTTGCAGTAATTCTCTGCCTTTATTTTAGCACTTGGATATCAAATGTTAAAACTAGGTGTTATCCTCTACATATTTTTATCATTGGTTTAAGCCTACTTCTCATTGAACATGAATCTCAACATTTTTAACAGGATCATACCCATCAACATATGAGTATTAACATGTTTATGCAACATCAGTACTAAAGTCATACATTCAGTGCCAAGATACCTAAATTTTTAGGTGGATGTTGAGATTCAAACTCATATCATCATAATTGCTTTGTAAGGATTTTACCAAATGGCTAAACATGCAAATACTTTACTGAACTTAATTTAAGTCACTGATATGAATATATCTCAGGTCTCTCATATTCTTTCTCGAGTTTATTGAATTCCTAGTTAACATCATGCTTAATTTCATATCATATATACACACACATATACATAAGAAAAAAACGTAATGAAAGGTGTAGAATCACTTTTACCAGAAATTAAATTAAATTAAATTAAATTAAATTAAATTAAATTAAAATGAGATGAGAAGAATGTATTTACCTTAGGTAAGGGTTTAGCAGGTTTGCAGTGGAGTCCTCCAACATACTCAACATTTGGTAAGGTTGGGTGAGGAAACTCCAAATCCCAGTAAGATCTAATGAACCACATTTCTGCTTTGCCCATGGTCTCAGCTAAGGTGGTTGGCCTTCCTAGATAGAGAAAATGAGCAAATGAGATGAAGAAAAGTTGACAGGACTCTCTTCTGAATAAAAAAATATGTTTCCTTAAAGCTGTTGGAAGAATTTATGTTTGATGGAGAACATATAATTATAAAACCAATGACTATGTATATATAATGTGATTAGCATGTATGATTTTTGGCTCAGGTAACATACATAAATGCCAGTTTGGTTTTATTCTTAAAGCAGACTTTGAAGTTTCCTCATTTCCTCTATAATTTGAAACCATGAATAGTTATTGAAATAACCTACTAAGCCACTATACAAGTAAGCACAAATTTACTCATATCTAAATTCTCAAAAGGAACTTTGTCAATATAAGCACATCATACAGGTCCAAATCTCACACTGTGCTGTGTGTACCCTGGCCAGAATTCCCAAGGTCACTGTAGTGTACAGGTAATCCTTCATCCTTTTGTCAAGGGAGTTCTAAAGTTTATGAATGTCTGGGTTTCTAGTTAGTGCTCCTATTTCAGATTCATATTAAGATATCTAATCATATTTATACTATAAAAAAATCACAATATTTATAGAAGTCCTATTAATAGAAATTTTAGGGTCATCTTAATTATGGTATAATTTTAAAGAGGAGAAGCTCAACTTCAAAAAGTATAGAACAAGTATATATGTTTCCATTCTTCTGTTCAGTACAGACATTTATAATGGGGTTAGGAAAGGGTACACGAAGGGAATGTGCTGGTAGAGACCTCAGTTTCATTGTAAAACCTGTAAACTAACATCATATCTTTAAAGAGTAGGAGAAATGTTTAGGAAATACAGAGAATTTATTCTATGATTTATCTTTTCATTTATGTGTATCTCTGTTTGCGTCAGTATACGCTAAGATTATTCTATTGCCTGATGATACCATAAAAGGACAGCAGGTTCACTGAAGCTGAACTTACAGGCAACTGGACATGAGTGGATGCTAGGAACAGAACACAGGGACTGAATGTGAACAGAAAACAGTCAAACTTTTGGCCGTGTGGTGAGAACCCATATTTTAATGTTCATATAAAGACACTGGATTTTTGCAAAAGAACACAATTTCTTCAATATTAAAGACATATTGATACTATAAAATATGTTATTCTTTAATCTAATAAATCACTATTTGGGTTCCCAGGAGGTGACTTATTAAAATAGAGGGAAAAAAAACTGTAAAATGAATAAAGAATCACTTAGGAACCATCTACTTGAATCTCTTTACGATTGTATAACTAACCAGAATGTCTTTTATCAGGACTGATAACTTTTCTGTGAACAATAATAAGAGCTTTTATAGAGCATTTCTGAGTTTCTTAGCTAATATCCTATAATGTATTTGATTAATTACAAAACAACTTCACCTTTAATTTCATGGACATATAGCTACAAATACACGTGGAACTCAGGTCATCAAGCTACTAAGAAGAAATATAACTTACCCAAAATTTCACTGTAAAACGGATCCCATTTCTTCCCTGCAAATGTCTCGAACCAAAAGTCAAAATAAAGCATACATATCATATTTTTTACCCTCTCTGTGAATGTCATTTTGCCACCTAATCCTGATAAAATCATAGGTACATAAGAGGGAGGGAGTGTAAGTCCTCCACTGTACTTTTCCATTGTGTAGCCTGGAGAGAAGCGAAAACTGTACATAAAAGGAATCTGGAGAAGTTCAGCTATCAGCTCCCCACAGGGAGCAATGGGATCTGAGAAAAGGACATCAAACTTGGATTCCTGTAGTTTTGTCATGAGCTGTTTGTTTGAAACAATGTCCTTACAAAGACTTTGATAACAATCAGAGTATTCATCAAACACTTTTTGAAGTAAAGGAGAATATGATAGACATGAATCTCGTGGAATCTCATAAGTCCACACATCCACCATCTTAGTGATACTTTTTTCCAGATCATCTTTACTGAGAGATGTGGAGAAAGTTTCAAACTTGAGTCCGGGAGATTTTTTTGGATCAAGAACATAGTAAGCCGAAGGTTTCAGAACAGTGACTTCATGGCCTCTCTGCACAAGTTCATCCAGTATTATCTTTATGTTCATCCAGTGACTGAATTCCATTGGCCACACCAACACCTTCCCACAGCTCACAGATCTAAAGCAGAAATTCATCTGCAGCAGGAGCAGAGCAGAAATGAACTTCCTAGGCATCCTGGAAATCAAAGTCTTTCTGTTCACAGTGTGATTCCTTCCTTCACTGCTTGTCTTTATGTCTAAAATAACAAATCCATGAGTTAAAATATAACCTGATGTAGTACAAGCAAATATACTTAATGACAAGATTGAACTTTTTGGCTGAAGAGAGATAGTAAAAGCAAATTTTAACTATTCCAAATTTACTTGGGAATGTTTAATGTCACATGTTTTGTAATCAAGTGAAGTTAGGAGCCACAACCTGTCTGTGTAACTCTGTTTGCAAGAGATTTGAATGGTAGATTCATATTAGGGTGATCAGTGATTAGTGTGAGGTGAGTCTGAATTTTATTCTCAACACATAAACCCAACTTATACTACTTACAGAGATTATCATTATTTCATAGATATTATTTTGTAAGAATGTTGGTTAAAATATTCAGTCACATTGAGTTTGTACAGTAACCTGACAGTATGCCTTACTTACTTGACAAAGACAAGGTCTCGGAATAATATAGACAAGAGTTTCTGCCTATGAATGTCCCTAGGAGAATAGCCAAACATATTTCCCTGAGTGACATTAGCTGCTAAGGTTTGCAGAAAGCAGCCAGTTGGTTCAACCTATCTGTCCACAGCCCTTTCCTAGGACCAAGACATAGCTGGATAGTTTGTTCTTGGAATCTGTCTTAGTTACAGTTTCATTGTTGTGAAGAGACAACATGGCCTAGGCAACTCTTATAAAAGAACATTTAATTGGGCTAGCTTCCAGTTTCACAGATTCATTCCATTATCAACATGGCAGGAACCATGGCAGAGTCCAGTCAGACACAGTGTTGGAGAAAAGATTGAGAGTTTTATTAGGAGACTGTTTCCACATTGGGCAGAGCTTGAGCATAGGACCTTAAAGTCCATGACCACAGGGACACACTTCCTCTAACAAGGTCACACCTACTCTAACAAGGTCACATCTCTTAATAGTGCCACTCCCTGTACCAAGCATATTCAAACCACAACAGAATCTTAGTGCACAAAGACCCTGAGAAATAGATGAGTAGATGAACTTCCTGACCAAGAAACACCATGTCTACCATTTTTAAAATCATCAATGCTTCTACTTGCTGTGAAGATTGTGTATATTGACATGTGATCTACCTGGATCTTGTTCGTCCTGGTACTGTGAAGCTACAAACTTTCAAACAACTCTAGAATGTATCATCTAGAAAAATTCTTTGATGATAAAAGTCACCTGTATTAAATAATTTCTCAATGCACTGACCAAGTACTCTGTAGAAACAAATTTTTGGTATTGTAGATATATTTTATTGCACAATTTGAAAAGGTGGTATCCATCATGACTTGCAAGATCTGTAAGAGTTCCATGTGATGGAAACACATGTAAGAGACACCCTCACCATGGAAAAATGATAAGTTACTCCTTTCTGGAAACTTTCTCACAAATATACTTAAATATTTATTTTAATAGTGCCTTTAGCATTCAAATTAGCAATGAGGATTCCACCAACATACAAAAAAGTCAAAAAAATTAATATATATATATATATATGAATTACAGTAGTATATATTTAATTATAAACAAGCTTGAATGTTAGCAAGTCAAAATCCTTATTTAAAATACACACAATGCTGACGTCAAGCAAAACTCCATGCATGAGGTGCTACCTATGAAAAAAGAAGTAAAAATCCGCTTGCATCAAAAATTGGAAAAATAAATATATGGAAGCAAACTACAAGGATACTTTGGTATATACACTTGCAAGTGTCAAAAATTGAAAAAATATAGAAGCAAACTACAAGGGTACCGAAGAAACTTAATATAAGAATGACCGTGACCATAGTGGAAGAAATATACATATACATATACATATACATATACATATACATATACATATACATATACATAGTGGAAGAAAACAAAAAGATCTCAGATCAATGAACTCAATAGCTTTATAAAAAGATGCATATATATGTATGTGTGCATAATATATAATATATACATAAATGTTATATATGTATATATATATATATCATTTGTTAGTATACTAAATATATAAATATATATTATATATTATATCATATATAATAATAAATAATATATATAAATGTATAAATATAAATATATTTATATATTTATATACTAAATTTATATATATATATATATATATATATATATATAAATTTGTTAGTATACTAATTATCGTGGTAGAAGATTTGATCTCATTGAAAACCCCAAGACTGTGTTGTTTACTGGAAATACTTCTTTCTAGTTGACTCAGCCCTAACATAAAACTTTTTTTCAATTTTTTTATTGGATATTTTATTTACATTTTAGATGTCATCCCATTTCCCCATTTATCCCCAACCCAGGAATCCCCTATCCCATCACCCCTCCTCCTGCTTCTATGAAAGATGTAGCACATTTTCTGTATCCATTCCTCTGTTGAAGGACATCTGGGTTCTTTCCAGCTTCTGGTTATTATAAATAAGGCTGCTATGAACATAGCGGAGCATGTGTCCTTGTTATATGTTGGAACATCTTCTGAGTATATGACCAGGAGTGGTATAGCTGGGTCCTCAGGTAATGCTATGTCTAACATAAAACTTTAATCCAAGAGTTTTTCATTTATTGTAAACAAGATTAAATAATATCAACCATAGGTCAAGAGGAATAGCAAGCAACCAGTTACCAGTTATTGACATCTCCTCCCTTCTCTAAGTATAGACGGGCTCTGGCAAATCTAATCTTGCGAAGGCAGAAAATGTGGTACATTTATACAATGGAGTACTTACTACTCAACTATTAAAAACAATGAGTTCATGAAATTCTTTGGCAAATGGATAGAGCTGGAAAATATCATCCTGAGTGAGGTGACCCAATCTCAAAAGAACATACATGGTATGCACTCACTGATAAGTGGATATTAGCCGAAAATCTCACAATATCTAAGACACAACGCATAGACCACATGAAACTCAAGAAGAAGAAGGAAGGCCAAAGTGTGAGTGCTTTGGTCCTTTCTAGGAAGAGTATCAAAAGTCTAAACCTCCAGCCTGAGAGCACCAAGGGAGGGACTCATGTCTCCACATATATATGTAATTGAGGGTGGCCTTGTCAGACATCAGTGGAAGTGGAGAGCCATGGTCCCCGAAAGTTTGGATTCCCTAGTGTTGGGGAATTTGAGAGCAGGGAGATGGGACTGGGAGGCTGTTTGGAGCACACCCTCATAAAAAAAGGAGGATGGGGTATGGGATAAAGGAAAATGTGACTTTCAGGTCACTATGTATTTACAAAAATGTGAGTTTGACAAAATGAAATAAGAACTGTAATAATATATATCCAATCATATTCAACAAATATTGGATGTATAAAAGAGACTAACAATAAAAGTTTAGTTCTGAAAACCATCCTCCAATCATGGAAAAATTACAGGGGAGGGCAAAAATTAAACACTGGAATTTAGTACTAACTTAACTGGCTATATATATAGAGAAAATGTCACTCAGCAGGTACAAGATGAACATTCCTCTCAGCAGCATATGGCACACTCTCCTGGATTTACTATGAATAAGGCCATAGAAATAGCTCTAAATAAGCTGATACAATTTAAGAGCACAATTTATAGCAATGGAATAATAAAACCACAATCAACTATAGTAACATTCTACATTGTACAAATATACAAAAATTAAAAGCATCATTTTGTATACCCACTGAGTCAAGGAAGAATCCTTATAGGAAATAAAACAGTTTCTTGAAAGTAGTGAAGAATCAAAACACAGCCTATTAAATGTTACGAGGTATGACCACTAAAGACAAAAGAGGGAATTTAATAGAACACATGCCTACATAAAATTAGAAAATACACAAATAAACTGAGATGGTTCATTTCAGGTCCCCAGACAAAGCAAAAGTAACTAAAAACCAAAACTTAATATAAGAATGACCATGATCATGACCAGAGTGGAAGAAATATACTGAAAACAAAAAGACCTCAGATCAATGAAATCAATAGCTTTATAAAAAGATGCATATATATGTATGTATACATATACATATATATAAAATTTGTTAGTATACTAATTATCGTGGTAGAAGATTTGATCACATTGAAAACCCCAAGACTGTGTTGTTTACTGGAAATATCTCTTTCTAGTTGACTCAGCCCTAACATAAAACTTTTTTTTCAATTTTTTTATTGGATATTTTATTTACATTTTAGATGTCATCCATTTCCCCATTTATCCCCAACCCAGGAATCCCCTATCCCATCACCCCTCCTCCTGCTTCTATGAAAAATGTAGCACATTTTCTGTACCCATTCCTCTGTTGAAGGACATCTAGGTTCTTTCCAGCTTCTGGTTATTATAAATAAGGCTGCTATGAACATAGCGGAGTATGTGTCCTTGTTATATGTTGGAGGATCTTCTGAGTATATACCCAGGAGTGGTATAGCTGGATCTTCAAGTAATGCTGTGTCTAACATAAAACTTTAATCCAAGGGTTTTTCATTTATTGTAAACAAGATTAAATAATATCAACCATAGGTCAAGAGGCATAGCAAGCAACCAGTTATAGGGAGTGAACATGGGGGAAAAAAGAGAGAGGAAGAGAATAATCAGGCCCCAGCTTCTGGCTTGTAACTCTTTACTGGCAAAATTGAACGTTTGAGATTTTGTAAAAAAAAAAAAAATATTTTTTTTTTAATTTTTTTTATCCCTCATCTTCCCATGTATTTTAACATTGAGGGGTGTTGAATTTTGTCAAAGGCTTTTTTCTGCTTCTACTAAGATGATGTGATTTTTTTTCTATAAGTTTGTTTATACGGTGCATTACATTGATGTTTTCTTTGGCTTTGGTCAAACAGGGACCCAAAGAAACTCGGGGAGGAAAGGACATATTTGGTTTACATTTCCGGACTATATACATTTCACCATGAAAGAAATAAGGGCAGGATCTCACCATGGGACCCAGGAGGGAGGAATTGAAGCAGAGACCATGGAAGTGTGATGCTATTGAGTAATCAACTGTCTTATACAACACA